GGGAAGATATAAGAAGTCTCTTAAAAGTTCATAAATTGATGTTACTTTCTGCTTTAGAAATGTTAAAGTTTTTAGCTTTTCCAAGAGCCCCCCCTCCATTTTCATTCACTTACAAATCCCTTTACATCACCTCTGCCACTTTATATCAGGGCATTCTACGTCCTCCTCCAGAGTTCAGCCTAGTGGGTACCCCCTACCACTCCTTCCTCACTTTCCTACAACCCTCCATATCTACTTTGTGCCTGTATCCACAGCCTGTATCCTGACACTTTGCAGTACTTGTCCTTTGCCTTCTGCAGGGTCTTACTCCCTGTGTCTCAGGCTAGTCTGACCTGTGTCATAGCTAAGGACCTGCCCTGCCTGCAGTTACCCACAAGTCCCCTCTTGGCCACCTTTACCACCCTACAAGGTATCCAGACTTCCCACATCCTCCGATGTACAGAATAGGACCCATATCCTTGCCTTGACTCAGTCAGACTGACGACTGACCCTGCCTGGGATTTAGCAGAACTTTAGGCTTCCACCAGCACCTTCCGTTCCTGTAACCACTGACAAGTCTCTCTGTATTGCCTCCACCACCCCCACTCCATACTCAGACTTCTTTCCATGTTTGCCTTCAGGGTCTGGCCCAGTGAGTACCCCTGACCTCCTTCCTCATCTATTCCATTTCCCCAATTCACCTGCTTTGCCTGGCACTCACAACCAATGGACGAATCTGGCCTTCATTGCAAAGGAGATCTAGGTTTGGGCTAGGATCCTCCCCACTCATCTGTCAAATCACAGGACTTTCCTTCCAACCTTTTCTTCTCAACTTTTTTTAACCCCTTTAAACATTCTTTTTAGACTTAAGGCCCCAGTAATCTAAAAGTCAAAATTCAGCACTCCTTATAATTATGTGAAACATTTTTAACAGGACTCAATTACCATTTACTCCAAGATCTACTGTAAGGATATCAAAGAAAATGTTTAGTGTAATGTTTTTATTGAAATAATGTATACCCAGTAGTAGAACAGTTTAGATGTATAGAAATATCAAATCAGCAGCACTCACAGCCTGCTGACACACCTCCCATGAGTTACAGCATTGTCATCTCCTATAGGTCTATTCTGTGTCACTGGACATTACACATCTTCAGTATTCATCCAGGATAGGCTACATGTCAGATTTTACTTCCCTTTAGGACTGAATAATATTGCATCATATTATTTGATTTGTTCAGACTCGATTTGTTCAATCTGTTCATGCATAGACAGGCATATAAGGTTTGCTCCTAGTTTTTATTCTTTTTTTTTTTTTGATTGACATTGTTGCATGCATGTTTGTGAATGCCTGTGTGAGTTCTTGCTTTAAGTTACTCCGGTATAGTTCTCACCTTTGTGGTGGCGATGGGGCAGGAACTCTATCCCAACGTGAGTGAGAGTTCTAAGTGATGCTAATGACTTGGATTAAAGACTGACGAGAGAAAAGTATTGGGACTTCCCTCCCACTCTGCCATTGGAATGACTGATTCCATGTTGCTGGTGGAAATCAATGTGGCTGAACCCTTCGTGACAAACATGTCAGCCTTAAACCACAGCGAGCGCTGCTCAGGGAGCTCAGTTGGGTTGTGTTAGAAGTCTCCTGCGACCTTCTAACACAACCCAACAATTGTTCGAACATGACGTGAACATTTCATTTCCCAAGTCAGAAAGAAGACTCCGTTGCCATGTGAAACACTGTCTCGTGATCTCAGTAGGCTGCACTATCACTCAACACATGCAAAACGAGTGGGACTCCCATGTCCAAGGGCAGCATTTACAACAGGACAAAAGTGCTTGGCTCAGGCTGGCCAGGTTTGAGAGCAGGCTTAGCCTCTTCGAGGCAGAAGACCCCAAGACGATAGACACCTGAATACAATTAGACAATCTTAGGATAGACACCTGAATAAAATTAGACAATCTAAGCAGGTAAAAGCCAAACACACACTCCAAACTGTCCCATGGTGGCAAATAATTTAAAGTCACCTTTTTCCCTATTTCAGATGATTAAGTTCGACTCAGTGTAGCATAAACATGTGGTAAGATCACATTAGATGGTATTCCCATACAGAGTTAACCTACTGCTTCTCCCTCTGTTTTTCTTTCTTTTTGTCTCATTAACTAGAATGTTATTTATGTTATTTTTATTTTGGAGGAGGGTAGAAATCTAGTTCTGTATATTTAGCGCCGAGTAGGAAAATAGTACACTTCCTTCTTCAGCATGAGTGTCCCCTGAGCCTGTTAGCATATTAGATGCTCCAGTGGAGAGCAGATACACAACTTCCTGATTTCCCAACACATACTGGGCAATTTATTTCATCAGTTATCCTACTGTGTTACCTTCATTCTGCATATTCGAAGTGTCAGCTCGTGTCCACGCTCCAACTTCTCGGGCAGTTCAGCTTGCCTTCCTGCTTTTTCAAAGCCCATCTTACCCTGTCGGTTCTATTTTATGCGACTTTTTTTTTCCCTTCCTTATTCTTTACCTGGCAGCGTCTTTTGAAAGGTGTAACTTTCAGTATTTTGAATTTTATGGCAGGCTAAAAAAATAACTTTTATTCCTAGTAGACGAAATCCGGCATTACACTAATATGCACCAGCAAGTTGCTTAAAAGCCCCTATCATATTCCCAGGAGATTTCTCATTTTGAAACCATTTCTTTTCCTCAAGCCTCCCGGGAGAGTAGTCCCCAACTCAGTGTGACTTTTAAATAATATTTTCCCACCCCACGTATGAATTGAGAACTGCTTTAACTTGTGAATACTGGGCTAAAACAGGAAATAGACAATTTCTGGATTCCAGACTGAGATCGGCAACTGTGCCGGCCAACAAAGACTTCTTCTCCATTGGCTCATCCGTCCCTTGCCTCCTGTCACCATGCACTGGCTTTTGTACTCACTGGCTGCCCTGCAATAAAGGATCCTGTATATGTTCCAGTCTGATCTATCTGCCTTGCTGCACGAGTCTTATCAGCTGTGTCCTCCCGAAAAAAAAAAATGTTCCTTCAGTAATTGACCTGGTTCCTTCCTTTAGATCCACAGTGCAGTCTGTGTTCTTCTAACTGAATTACTTCATCAGGTCTGTCCATCAGTGTATCGCTAAGCTCTGCCCAGTCTTTCCATTCCTGGGTTTTGTCTCAGGGTCGAACACTGATTTCCACAAAGCAGTTGATCTCTTGTGAGTGTTTCCCACACAAACTTCACCATCGTTTTTCTCTAGATCCCGTAGGACTCACAAATTCTGGAGTGTTTATCCTCCCCTCTTGGCATTGCCCTTTCATTTGATTGTGGGCTTGCCTGATTTTTTTTTTTTTTTTGTTACTGAAAGTATTGGATACATGCTGAAAGCAGTCGGAAGCATTAAGACTGATCACGGAGGTCCTGCTAATGGGAAAGACAGCTTCTAATGAGCAGAGCTCAGGAATGCCAAAGCCAAGCTTGCCAAAGATCAAAATGAGTTTATATATTTAGTGTATAGCTGTTAAAATGGTTGTTAAGGCGAGCTCAGAAAAATAACTGTAACCGGTAATCTACAGTGAACGAAGAATCTAACTCTTACACTAATAAGAAGAAAACATCAAAATTTTTATTGCATAATAACAGAACAACTGAAAATATCCAAGAGCATTTTAAATATCTCTAGATGTATTTGTGGATATCAGAGAAAAACTGAAAGCATCAATCTGAAACTTGAGCATTCTCTACATTATATATGTAGTTTTTCCAATTCTTTTCTGAATATGAAAAGACTTAAAACACTTTTAGTCGAGTACTAAAGTTAGCAGTGTTTATGAGTATTATCTTTTGCTAATTTAAACACCACTTGATATTTGAAAAGTTGTTGTACGAAGGCAATCATTTTCACTAGAGTAGATGATTTCCACATCTGTCACTAGAAATTTCATTTGGAGATTCTATGGAGTAATTCCGAAGAGATCCTAGTAGAGGCACGAAAACCTATTGAGAGGGCTGTCAGGATGGTATAGCAGGCAAAGATGACTGCAGTACAAACCTGGCAACCTAGATCAAACTCCCAAACCCAAATAAAGGAGAAAGGAAAGAAGGAACTCCAGAATTGTGACCTCTGATATTCCCAGATATGATGTAACCTTCAGCCACGGCAACATAGCCACACTTATACAATGCTAAACAAACAAACAAACAATAAATAAATAAAATTAAATATATACATTGTAACATTTTATGTAGAATATTATAAGGAATTTGACCCAGTTTTCGGTAAAAATATACTAAGTTGTTTAGTGTTTGACCTCGTAAAAACTGTGTTGAGTTTGGATAATTAAATTTAAGTTTATATCATGTTTGAATGTGAAATGTTCCCTACAGGCTTATGTGTTTGAAGACGTGGTTCCCAGAGGGAGGTGCTTTTGGGGGAGGTTTTGGAACCTTTGAGAGGACAGAGACTTCTTGGTGGAAGTTTGTAACTGGGGAGGGCTTTGAGATGTTACAGCTTGGTTCCACTTCCTTTCCACTCAGTGGTTCTGAACTGGTGATCATGGGGCTGGCGAACCTTCTATTCCTGCTACTAAGACTTCCCACCATGATGAGTTTATCCTCTCTGGAGCCGAGATCGAAAATAACTCTTCCTCATTATGTTGCCTTTAGAGTATTTTATACAGCAACGGGAACAGCACTACTGCAATTTGTAGTTTAAGAATTTTGTATTTTTATTCAGGTGTTGGTGGTGCTTGCCTTTGATCCCAGCACCTAGCAGGCAGAGACAGGTGGATCTCTGTGAGTTAAAGGCCAGCCTGGTTTACAGAGTTAGTTCCAGGACAGTCAAGGGTATACATAGAAACCCTGTCTCAAAAACCAACCAAATCAAACATCAAACAAAGAATTTTGTGTTTTTAACCTGAGTATAAATGTCATTCCCACAAAGAATGAGGCTGTAGCATATCGGCAAAACTCAGAGCTCTTTGCTCTCAATGCAGTTTCCTATCAGGGTTTCTTTTCTCCTACCTTCACTTTGAGCACAGAGGCAAACATCCTTGCATCCTCAGACACACCGCCAATGTAGAATTTCTTCTGAAACACTGGGGGGTGATCGTTTTCATCCTGAATCTCAATGTACACTTTAGCTGTGTTGCCTGGAAAACAAGATATATATTTATTGGTGATTGTTCATTAGAATAAGAATCACTAGAGTAATATTTATCATATTTTTAGATAAAGGGGTGCATGTAATTTGTCTGAAGGTCATTCCTATGTGGTACCCAATTCTAGGTCAAGAGAAGATGGATAAGAATGTTACTGGCAATGTTAATTTTTTACTGTTTTATTTTTGAGGTACTAGGTATTGAATCTAGGACCTCATGGGTGCTAAGCAATTTTTTTCAGTATTCCCAAACTGCTACCATTTGAATGGTAATACCATAGTAATTTACTTTCCATTTTAACTTGTTTAACTTATTTTCCCTTTCATAGTAAGTAATAAAAGGGCTGTCCAAATAACAGTGTTCAGTGTTATGAGACACAGGCTTACTGAAAATCCATTGGAACTATATTTTGTGTCATG